AGCTAATGTTCATATATCTAGGGTTCACATGGTGTAGCTAATGTTCATATATCTAGGGTTCAKACGGTGTAGCTAATGTTCATATATCTAGGGTTCACACCATAGGGTTCACATGAATGTTCATACCTTGATATAGGCACGAAGATGAACGATTGTTCAAACACATATTAATTAATACAAATTTTTGACCAATTTATCCTTTGAACAATTGTTCATACACATATTAATTAATATATTAATTAAATTATTGTTTATTTAATMTYATTTAATRRYAACCGTTAGATGAGAAAATGAACGATTAAGATGGGTTAGCATAGTTTGCACAAAATATTGRGTTAGTATTTGAACCAGCCCCTATATATATATATATATAAATATATATATATATACACGGGTACGGGGTGGGCGGAGAGTGTGATACCCGTCCCTGAGACCCGGTTTAACGGGGAATCCCCGTCCCCGACGGGTCGGGGCCAATTCCCATGCCTAATATTAACCTTTTAGTTTACTTAAGAAATATTCTTAAATATCTCAAACGAGTGGTTTACATTGGATCTCACGATTACCACAAACTAATCAGTTCTTGAATGGGCACATATGGGCTCAGCTCGGGACTGACGTGGAACCGATTGGGATCAGTTTGGGACCGCCAGTTAAGAACCGATTACACTTTTTATCCAAAAACAAGACCCGAAAGGACCAGTTTGGGACCGGCTAGGGTCTGGCCCAAGACCGACCCAATTTTTTCAAAAGATGTTACGTGTTTTTATGGCCGTTGGAATGGTCATATGACCGTATTTTTTCAATTTTTGATCATTTTTTTTGTCCTAGTGATCCTATATACACAATATATAAGTGATACAGTGTATGTAATAAGATGTTAACTCACAAATGTAAAAAAACGTTCATAATTCTCACTATAATTCGTGATTTCAGCTCGTATTCAATTTCGTTTTAACAAATTATAATAAAACGTATCTTTAAGTGTATTTTATTGATCGGATTGCATATTTTAAAGTGTATTAGATAACATCTTTTAATTCTTTAAAAAAATCAAAAAATATTATATACAAAAAATCGACTTTTGTTTTTAAAGTGAGACCGATTTGAGCCCGGCCTGGAACCGGGACTAGTTCTCATAATGGGTTATGCTAAACCTTAACCGGGCATTGGATTTTTGGTCGGGACTGGATACAGGAGTAGTATTTGAGATTGAGACATATTTTTTACCATCTCTACCAGAAAGTCCCTTTTCAGTCACATGCTCGTGAATGAAGAGTCAAATAAAAAAATGTATATAACAAATCGAGTACACGCTCTTTTCTTTAATAGAGAGTATGTCATTATCGTATTCCAAGTTTTTTTAGTTGGTTGAAATAAACATAAGTTATGTGTGAATTATGTTTACGTTCCTTATTAATCACGATTAGATGATGACTCAAACCCTAAATTTCTTCTATTCTTTCGATTCTACTGACTCTAAGTTATAAAGTTAATTACTAAAACATACTAAAAAAAAGACGAATGATCGTGTGGGAAAATGAGTTAAACCCTAAACTTCTTCTATTCTTTCGATTCTACTAGCTTGTACTCTTGGATTTTAAGTAATATGCATCAATAAGCAGTACTTCATGCATAAAAAATAGTTTTTAAGAGTTTTTATCAAATACTTTATAATATAATATATATAATTGATTTTATTATTATTATTTATATTTTATTTTTGTTTCTTTGTATTAATCTTTAATATTTAAGATAAAAATAATATGTTTTTAAACAATAATACAAATATAAATAATAATTAAAACCAAATTGTGATAATTTTTTTACGAAAAAGTCATCTGAATTTTTAAAGAATGATAAATAATTAATAGATTATTATTTGAATATTTAAAAACTTAAATAAGAAGATAATAAGTTATTTTATGAATTTCTAAAGTTGAGGAATGATCGATGATATATTCTATGAGAATACAGATAAAATAAAAAAAATATTGGTTATTATTAGAAATTTTTGATTTGATTTATTTATGACAAACCATACGACTGTATATATATTATTGAAGTTGCAAAATAAATGATATATTATTATTAATAAAAAACAAGACATATTTTTTTTAGTTAATTTTTTTTATGTATGATATAAATAAAATAATAATTATATACACTAATTATTATTATAAAAGGAAAACAAAGAGAGAGATATAACAAAAAAAAAAAAAACACCTGATGTTAATTTTATATATACTCAAACCAATTCATTTAGAAGAAAAATATATGAAGTAAATAACGGTGTAATTTGCTTCCGGTTAATCGATATGGCAAAAAAAAAAACAATCGAAACCGAAACTTACTTGTTAATTTCAAAAATTACACCAAATATAATTTAAGGTTGGTTTGTGAAACTTTTACAATTAAAGATCGATCTGTTTGAGATGAACATGTTTAAACAATAAAAAGTAAAGGGCACTATATAATTGGTGATACGAAAAACCCCGTCGAGGGTAAAATCCAGGACAATGGGAGATATCGTTGATGCACTATAGACGCCAATCAGGGACGTCCGCCTTATAAATAACAAACGCTATTACAAGACTTGGAAGATGTAAAATAAACGTAAGTAAATTGATGCGACGAAGATAATCATAAATGATTGTCGTAAGAGTGGTCTAAAGTGCTTCTAGGTAATTCCTATTGTATCTTGTACTTACCGTCCTTGTGATCGAATACAACTTTGGTTTATATATTAGCACATTAATAGATGTTTTAATATCTATTAATGACTGTATCAGTCGGATTTTTTAATGCGTCTTGAATCTTGGTATTCGCTTATAATTTGCATCATAAATAATTGAAACTGATCTTTAATCCTGAAACTAAAGGCAAATATAACGTATATAGTGGTTAGCAATAGTAACGAGCATCATGAGTATAACGTGAATAACTACGGTCGTAGGTCGAGGATGACATAACTGTGGATATTCTGGTCGTACATGTCTTGGTCGTAGATATTATTTCCAATGGTCGATCTTATGGAATTTTCAACAAAACATTACCCTGTTTGGTTAATTGAACCCTTTAACCAACGAAAGGATAACTCGTAACCATTTTGGTTCCGATGAGTTATTCGATTTTAGAACTTTTTTATACGTTAAAGTCTCAATTACATAACTTTTTAGACCTGCCGCTGATTTCAAACATAATTTTTGCAATCTTGATGCTATTTTGTACCACTGAATAGCTAAAGTTGTATAGAATAATGTATTTTAAGCGACATTTTGCCTTTGATATATAATTTTTTTCCTTTATTTGTGATTTAAATAATATATATTTCTTAATAATGTTTTTATATGATAAAAACATGCAAGTTTATCAAAATGGCTAATCCTCTTAACAAAATTCACTTTTTAACCATTTCTGATGTTAAGTTTTCATTTTAATCAAAACCCACGTATTTGCTTAAAGTCTAATTTTAGACTAAAAAAGAATAATTCTTTATATAAACTCCTTACGTAAATGAGGATCCTTACATAATAAGATACTTATTTAGAATTAGGGGTCGTTTATCAAACACTTACCCAGTAAGTATTTACTGGTAAAATTTAATACTATTATTCACTTACCGAGTAAGATTTTAGTCCACAAAAACGACATCGTATGCAACAATTTACCCGGTAAGCGCTTACTGTGGTAAGAGTAATCACCCTCACTTACTGGGTAAGACTTTTGGTCCTTGTCTCACACTTACCGGATAAGACTCTTGGTCCTTATCTCGCACTTATCGGATAAGATTATTGGTTCTTACCATATTCATCCGGTGGGGTAATGTTACTTGGTAAATGCTTATCTAGGTAAGCGTTTGATAAACAGACCCTTACCTAATTTACGTCATGATTTTTTTTAATATGAAAAAGGATTCACGTAAATACGTAAATTCTCACTAGAATAAGAATTTAATTAAAATATTTGGTAAAAAAGTAAACTTGATTAAAAAAAATTGACTAAAAGATTGTTTGTTTACCTCTTAATGATTATATCAAGAGACAATATCTAAATTGTTAAGAGATGAATCTTGTTTGGTAAAAAATAAGTCTACATTTTAATGGTTCTAAAACACTTTGAATGATTGTATATATTGGATCTCTCTTAATTATTCAACGCCATAATTTAATGCTGAATAATTACCAAACAATTATATTTCATTTTGCACTATATCATAAAAGCCTCTTAATAACCACAAAGGTGGTGCCTGATTGGTTTGAGCTTGTCTCCAAAGATCAAAAGTATCAGGAGGTCTCAGATTCAAATTTAAGGAGGAATAAAACCCCTCTTGTGGCCACGGAGGTTCAAATGCGATGACTCCGAGCTATCTGCAAAGCATATGGTTGTTCTGAAATTAGTCGACTCGCATTACAAGTTGGATATCCATGTTAATATAAAAAAAACACCGCTAATTTGATATTTTCGAATTTTTTTTAATAAGTGTAAAAACGTTTATCACCTGTAAAATTCAGTGGCATATACAGTCCCAAGTCCCAACTAATGATAATTCCAGGGATCCTGGGAGATTTGATGGACACACGATTTCTCGGGATCGTACAATAATGGCGAAAGTAGCTCCTCAGCTCACACAGTCACTACTCGCAAATCCTCCGATCCGCAGGCAATCGCGCGTCAGAGTGCGTGCTACCATGGCCACCACGAAGGCTGATCAATTCAAAGACCACCACCCTTCGTTGGAAGTCTTGGGCGGAGCTCGTGATTCCTTCTGTCCGGTTATCAAGACTCATTTGGACCGTCCCTACAATCCGTTTCCAGTCTTCGGTTCAAATCGCCACCTGGAGACAATATTCGCAGCTTTCTTCCGAAATATACCCGATGTGAGGTTGAAGCGCGAGTGCCTCAGGACCCAAGACGACGGAACCGTCGCTCTCGATTGGGTCTCCGGCGATGCCGGCAACTTGCCGGGGAACTCCCCTATCCTACTCTTACTCGTCAGTATAGATTTTCCCCCTTGAAATTTTGAATTCTAGTTGAATACCCACCATTAATTTCATTCCCATTTACACTAAAAATTAGGTTAAAACTTTACTTTCCCTTATGATTTTATCTTCTATGAGATAGCAAAATTATACTCTTGCAGCCTGGTTTGTCCGGAGGAAGCGATGATGCATATGTAAGGCATATGTTGGTGAGGGCAAGAAATAAAGGGTGGCGCGTGGTGGTGTTCAACAGCCGTGGCTGTGCTGATAGCCCTGTTACCACACCTCAGGTTTCCCTGAATGGAATTATTATAAATAAATGCTTGTTTAATTTGTTCAGAATTTTAATCTCTCTGATTAATCATACCAAATATGGTCCGTTTTGTCCGTACACTTGAGGTTCATAAGAGCTCACAAATCCCATTTTCTATCCATGTGGGACAAGTTGTTTCAAGAACCAAGTGGGTTTATTTAAAGATTGCAGTATTGATGAACCCATTGCTGTTTATATTAAGATTTTATGCTTATGCAGATGTATTCAGCTTCATTTTTAGGAGATCTTGATGAAGTAGTGAAACATGTTGGTAGCAGGTATCCCAAAGCCAATCTATATGGGGTTGGTTGGTCCATGGGAGCCAACATTCTTGTTCAATATTTGGGGAAGGTAGTAGAAATGCATCTCCATTTTATGGGTTTTCTGAAAATATATTGAAAAATCTACTTAAAAAGCTTATGATTTTGTGTTATTGCAGGAGCCTGGTTCTCGCCGATTTTCTGGTGCAGCTTCTTTGTGTAATCCTTTCGATTTGGTTATGTCTGATGAGGACTTATGCAAGGGGTTCAACCGAATTTATAATAGATCTCTTGGCAAGGCTTTGAGTGGCATTCTAAAGAAGTACTGCTCCATTTTTAATCATCTTGATTGCTTCTTGAATACTATATTTGTAGGCATCTTCATATTTATGAGATTTCATATCATTCTTTGTAGGCATCTTCTTCTGTTCGAAGACATTGGAGGTGAGTACAATATCCCATTGGCTGCCAATGCCAATATTATCCGGGATTATGATGAAGGACTGACCCGAGGTACATATATCCGTTCATGACTAATGAAAATGCACATATACCCGTGAACGGTTATACCAACAATCTTTTGGGAATCATGCAGTTTCGTTTGGTTTCAAGTCAGTCGATGAGTACTTGCAGAACTCATGCAGTGCAAATTACATTAAGCATGTTAGCACGCCTTTACTTTGCATACAGGCAATACCTCTTTACCCTTTTTTTCCCCCATCAAGTTCTGAATGCATTAGATTATATGTCTAGATAAGTATGTCCGATTGAGGGACGAGAGACCGGTGGGTTTGAGGGAGGCAAAAAGGGAGGATTGGATAATTTCTAATGCATTTCTGGCATTAATTGTTTGAGGTGGCTTAACGGGGACAAGTGAGGGGTTGCTTATTCCATATAGCAATTTTGGCTTAATGGCTAAATGATTAAGCCATGAAGAAACACTCATTTATGGCTGAGCCATTAGGCCGTGCAAAGTCCAAACCATTAAGCTCATTAAGCTGTAAGTAAACAGCCCTTGTTAATGGAGTATCAAGATTTCTTGAAATGTATTTACAGGCGAAAAATGATCCAATTGCACCCGATAGAGCAATACCTCGTGAAGATATAAAGGTATGCAGCACAAAAATGTCGTTTATAATTTACCCGAATGGTCCACAGAGACACAGAAATGTCGTTCATTATTCATGAACTCCCTTTCTTAAGTTGCATCCTTTCATTTCTACAGGCGAACCCGAATTGTTTGCTGATAGTTACGCCTAAAGGAGGGCATTTAGGGTGGGTTGCAGGCGAGAATGCTCCCACAGGATGCCCGTGGACTGATCCGATGGTGATGGATTTCCTCCAACATCTCGAAAATGAAAAATCGGGCACACCACAAGATGCCACCAATTTGCTGCAGTCAGTAGAAGTGTAGACTATATTCATTTGTACTTGGTTGATTTAACTGCCCATTTTGGGTAGATTATGGGAAAACAATGTGATACAATAGTTCCCATTTGATATTTAACCATTCTAGCATCTCTTAAATCCTTTTCTTCTAGCTTAAACCTTTACTCAATACCTTATGAAGCAACGGATCGACGAAAGAATGCGGTTGAACGACAAAATGACAATCTTTATCAGGTTTTGAATCTAATCAAAGGATCATTGGCTCAACTGTATTTGGATTACTAGTATAGTCAAGCCCTCTCAGGAGGTCAATGATGAGTAGTGTGTTTGAGTATTTGTTGTTTATGAATTAGTTTTAAATTTGGAAACATCAACTATTTGGTAATGAATATATAATTATATATAAAAACGTGTGTTTAAGATCGAAAGAAATACGTATGGATTTTTTAGAGTTGATTTAGTCTAGACTGCTTAGGAAAACGTTCAAACCATAGACTAGACTGGACCACGTGATTTGACTATTTTTCAAACCAATCCAATTTGATTTGGTTCGTTCGGTCTAACGGTTCTTATGGACGCCCTTACCCTCATCCACCGAGTAAAACCCTCGGTCTTTTTTACTGCTCTGTCAAATAAAATTCTAAATTCTTATCATGTTAGTTCGATAAAATAAATGACCCAAAAGACTTATCGGCTCCTTCATCTGTGGTCATAATCGCCAACTACCATACACCTTGTCTCTTGCTTCGCCTAACAAAAAAATGACAACAATTTGGTGGGTATCCGAATTCGATGTGGGTCCGTCGATACCAAAATACACATCATTCTCTTATTTATCACATGTCGGCCTATCAAAGTTAAAAAAACATAAAAATGAATAATTTTTATGTATTTGCGATTTACTTGATATTTAATAATAGGTTGTTTAACAGTTGTTGAATGATTTAATACAAAATGATTAAGTGATCATAATCATTAAAAGACTTTCATGATATAGTGCAAAAAAATATATAATTGTTTGCTAATTATTTACAAGGAAATTAGGACGCTGAATGGTTAAGGAATATATAAGATACCAAATTATTCAGAGAGTTTTAAAACCATGAAGATGCAGATTTTTTATTTACCAAACAAGATTCACCTCTTAACGATTCAGAAATTGATTCTTAATGAAACTACTAAAAGTTAAATAAACAACCCCTAAGATTAATACGCATAATTTTCAAGTTATGCTAAAGCTTAACTTTTTTTTTTGTTAGGTTTAACTATCACACTTAATTTATTCCAATATGCTTTGATTTATTCCTACGGCTACTAAAAATTGCTTTTTGTTTGTGTTAATTTTTAATTAATAATTGAATTAAATAAGTTACCATATTTTTGCTATTCATGTTAAATTATATAATTACAAATATATATTTAAATAAAAAACCTGGTCCAACATGAAATCCGATATTTAATCGAGTTGTACGATTTTCAAACCGTAGGTATTAGATTATTATTATTTGAACCCCAACTCAACCCGATGAACCCGATATCCTTTTATTTCTTGGATTTACAATGATTGTTGAATTTCTATTAATATATACGTTAGACAATTACACTATCACGTTATCACGTACGCTCTTTATAAACATATATTTTCAATCCATTCACATCTTTATATAACTCATTTGTATATATGTTCAGTAACTATAAACATATATATGTAAATTGAGAAAATTAACTGAATATGATATACGTAAAAAAATATTGATAAGTTGTATCAAATGGTTGGTGATGAAAAATAAATTATGATTAGAGAAATAACATATTCAAGATTAAAAGAATATTTTAATGTACCAAACTATCAACCCGACCAACCCGTACGGTTTGGGTTGGGTTAGGTTGCACTTTGGTTTAAGTTGAGTTGGGTTAAAAAATTTCAAACCTTAAATATTAAATTAAGTTATTCAAATATCTTCAATCTGATGAAACTAACTCATGACCTTTCCTAGTTACATGGTCACCAAATTTGGAATAAGTTGACAATATTTTGTTTTTTAGAATTTTTCTAAACGTTTAGATTTTATGGAATGGCGATTTAATTTACTTTTTTTACGATATTGTGATTTTTTTGTTTTATTTTTGATAGATAGTAGATTTTATAATTTTTTTAAAAGAAAATCGAAGTTTAAAAAAGAGTTATTTTTTTGGAAGGAAATTTATTATTATTTTTCTTCTTTTCCTTTTGAAAAGTTTTAGGAAGTTTCTTCTGTTTCCTCTTATAGTTTTATAATGCTATTTTGTCACTTCAATTTTAGACCCACATTAAGACTTTGTTAATTAACAATTACAGTGAAATTCTTTAAATTTGAATTTTTCTTTAAAAAAATACTATAAAAAAGAAATATATTTTTATTATATTCTTACTTATGAACAACCATAAAATGAAATGTTCATATTAAAAAATAATATTTTATTATATATATAAAAAAATTTATAATATAGTTGACGGGTTAGGTTATAATGAAAATAAAAGTAACGACAAAAATGGTAATAAATGATATTCATCGTTGGATCAATCCTAATTGAAAATTAACAATAATCAGATGCATCAAAATGTACCGGATCAGTTTAGTTAAGAAGCACAATTATTACGGTAGTATAAAATTAATAATATCAAGGATTCAAATATTTTTCATATTTTTCATGCTAAATCCTATTGTTACACGATCATTTAATTTTATTATAATCTTTAAAATAAAAAATTTGTTTGAGTTAGATTATAGAAGCCCCAATTTTTTTTTTTGACTTATCTTACCGGTCAACAAAAACCAAAGGGTACCGGAAGGGATAAACTCGACGATTGCGGCTTGGCCTGAGTTGCCAGAAAATCTGTGTGGTGGTGTAACATAGCCATGCTAGCAAACACCTGTTCTTCACTCCTTATATACCCATTACTCCCTTTTTCAATTCCACCACCGTAACTCGCTACACCGCCATCGCTGCAACCATGTCCGCCACTCCTCAACCTCACTGTTCAATCCATGTCAGCGGCGGTGCTCTAGATTCATTCCTTCCGGCTTTCAACACTCTGGACCGTCCTTATGATTCCTATCCGCTGGTTTGTTCCAATAATCACCTGGAAACTATCTTTGCCTTTTTCTTTCGATCAACACCAGATGTGAGGTTTCAACGTGAGTGTCTCAGGACCAAAGACAACGACACCGTCACCCTTGATTGGGTCGCCGGTGACGATCGCAGCTTGTTCCCCAATTCTCCTACCCTCATTTTTCTGGTAAATATTATTCCCCTTTCCAAATCCCAATTTTACATCATAAACTTGAAACGAATTGATTAATTTTATTATAGCATTTACTTTAACATAGCTGTTAAATATACTATAAAACATCAAAAATAGATATTTGTGTAAGAATTTTATTATTCTATTTTTTTAATTCAACGTCAAAAACAAGAATATATACTATATCATAAATCATTTGATAGAAACTCCTAAAAACCATTTTATGCATAAAATACTGTTTATTGATATATATTACTTAAAATTTCAGATTACAAGTAATTTTGAGTAAGTATATAACTTGTTAAAGTTTTATTTTTAAATTCGTGTAACTAATTTTAAATAAACATAATCAAATACAAGATAAATGTTCATCTTAAATATAAATAATCTAAATTATAATTAGGATAATCATTGAGTTCTAACAGAAAGATCAATTATTATCAAAAAATAAATAAAGAAATTGATTTTTTAAATTTAAATTATTTTATTTCTTATAAGTTATTACAAATCAATAATTTAATCAACATAATTGTTTAATTATTCTTATAGTTTATTTGTCTTTTTTAATAAAAGTATAAGTATACTTACACAATGCAGCAAGATATATCTCGATTTTAGTGTTTTATTTTTTTCTTAGTCAATATTATAATACATTTTTATATAGTTTTGAGAAAACGATAATGTTTTTATTTTTAAATAAAATATAAATATAAAGATATTATAAAAATATATATTGATATTAGTACCAAACTAACTATTTAAAAGTTCTCTTTTTTGTGTATTTCTTTAATTTATTAAATTATTTTTATTTTAATAATATAATTTTTTATAAAGATAATAATTAAATATTTTATTAGAATTCAATGATTATCCTAATTATATACTAGAAGAGTACTCGCGCAATGCAGCGAGATACATCGTGTTTTTAATATTTCATTTTATTATTTATCTCAGTCGATGTTATAATATGACTTTAT